GGATTGAATATATATATATATATATATATATATATATATATATATATATATATATATATAATGAAAAGTTATAACATTTTTTCACGATTTATTTCTCATGTGTGATCAATTATTTGCGAATTATTACACAAAGTAAAGTTTACCAAGTGAACACTCTTAGGTAGTTCATGTTAGTTTTCCTCGTCACTTAAAAATTTTTTTATAACATTTCATTTATTTACATCAAATAATGAAATTTTGTCAAGTTAAGCTCAAAATCTTGTAATGTGAGGTTAGCGTCGATTCTCATCAAGAGGGAAAAAGAGCATTTTTCATTTAGATTTTTGTTTATTATTATTATTATTATTATTATTATTATTATTATTATTATTATTATTATTATTATTATTATTACTAGTATTTGTCCCGTGTGATGCACGGAAAATATGTTATAAAAATATACTCTATATGAGGTTTATTTATATATAAAATTTTTGTTATTTAATAATTATTATGTGTGAATTCCTATGATAAAATTATGAACATAAATATATTAACAATTAAAATAATATTTAAGGTGGGTGATTACTACAAATCTTAAACTATATTAAAAATTTAGTAGATAATATTTAATATTACAAATTTTTAAGAACTTAGTAAAATACAAGAGTAATTGAATTACAATTTAGAGTCACCACGGATCACAATTTTTAGACCTTTGAGATTTCTAACTCTAGATATAGCAACATACAATTGACTTTTAAAGACCAAAATCACAATCTTAGTTCAAACATTGATTTTTTCTTCAAAATACTATCGAATTAAGTGTGTAATCAATAAAAGATGAGAACTAAAAATTCGAGAATATAATCTTAATGTTACTAAGCCTACTTCACGTCAATTAAATTGGAGAGTGTTGTTGGATAGTATCCGATGAATCCACGAATAACGCATCTTTGTCTCCGTAGTCCTTAATATGCACATCAACAATCTTAAATATTAGGCCGCCTAGCTATGCTATATAGTAATTTCAAACTTATGAACTTTGAGGTTGCATGCAATAAAAAGTATATTTTAAATATACTAAGGGTACATTATATATGTATGTAAGGTACTTTCAATATAAAAATAATGTATTTTTAATATATTAACAATGTATTTGATATTCATGACCCATACAATTATGTGGACAATCGTTCACACAATAATTTGCCAGTAGAAATTGAAATATAAATAAATAAATAAATAAATATATATATATATATATATATATATATATATATATATATATATATATATATATATATATATATATATATATATATATATATTATTGCAATTATTATCATTATTATCATTATTATTATTGCAATTATTATTATTATTATTATTATTATTATTATTATTATTATTATTATTATTATTGAGATGATAAGAAACATGTTTGGCCTAAAATAACAAGTGGAAAGCAAGAAATTAAAAGTAGTGGGAATTGAATTGCAAAGTGGTACGTGTATAATGTAACACATGTAGTAGTTTACATTAAGAATTGTAATGAGAGGAGAGATCACGAAACTTTAAAGTAGCTTTCAAATGTACATATCGATAGCAACTGATCGTATTATGTCATCACCATTCATTTCATTAACATAATATATCCTTCTCTTACAAGCAAAAGAAAATGGCATATCCCAAGTCGGTAGAACTCCAAAAGTGATATTTTTATTTTATTTTACCCAAAGTTAAGCTTACTACCGTATCACTTACGAAAAGTGAAACACAATAGAAACCACCAAATAACACCACATGTTAGTATACGATATTATTTAGGGAAATGTGATTTGAGATTTTCAAAATAATTTAGTAAATTTCTTTATAAACATGGGACTCACCAAATAACACATGTTAATGTAGTACATTATTTAGGAAGGTGTAATTTGAGAATTTTAGGAAAGGTGGGACTTTTGACAATTTTCGGCTTAATTATGAGGTAGTAAGGAGGGTCAGATATTTGGGTAATGTATATACAATCGTTATACCCTACACCACGGCACACATAGCATTGTGCGCCGCGCGTCTCCCAAAACGACGTCATTTTGGGAGGCGCGGTAGAAAGTTGCTGGGATTATGTGTATTTGTTCACACAGTTATGTGTATTTGTTCATACAGTTATGTGTATTGGTTCATACAGTTATGTACATTTTTTATACAATTATGTACATTCTTTTTATACAATTATGTACATCCGAATCAGAGAATTTGTGTGTATTATGTTAATAGTTGATGTGTATTATGTTAAAAGTTTATGTTTATTATGTATTATGTTAGATTATGTGTATTATCTTTTAAAAAGAGTATGTATATTTTGTTATATAATTATGTACATTCATGTATACAATTATGTGTATTCTAGTATAACATTATGTACATTCTTGAACAGCGGATTTTTTTTTAAAGAAAAAACTACTGTTATTCACTGGGGCGGGAAATTAAAAAAAAAAAAAAAATTAAAACGACGTCGTTTTGCATCTGGGCGCATAGTGCAACGCGCGCCGTGGTGTAGGATATAAATTGCCATGTATATAGTACGAGAAAAATGGTCTCAAAAGCAGTAGTTTATATGGGTTCTTCAACAAATTAAAAATGGTGGGAATTATTAAAGAGAAGAATGATTCCCCTCTTCTAAAGAAATGATTGTAACTGATGTAGTAAATACAATGGATACTATTAATTCGTAAAGTCTACGATCGGGTTCGATTTCAGCCCTTTTCTTAATCTGTTTGTTGGTTTAAAATCTTGAACTCGAGTTACGTGATAGTGGGTTAGAGGTTCTAGGATTTAAGGTAAGGTTTAAAAATTGCTAAAAGTCCTTCTATACCGCATTTAATTAATGTGGTATTTATAGAGAGTATCAAGGAACAACTTATCAATTTCTCGGCATGCACGGCACGTGAAACACATGCAAAGGGTGAGGCCGGTGGTCCATATTGATCCGTCCACGTGTTTGAAGATTCCTATCGCTATAGGGTCCGCTATCGTTGTGCTCAGCTGGTGCTCCAAGTACCGAAGGTTAGATGCTCAGTCCCAACCTAAAGTGATCGAGGAAATCAGATCAGTACTGATCTCCAATCGGTTAGCGGCACCCTCTCGGTCTGGGATCCAAACCGGGGAGACACGCGCTTGGGTCGGTCTTGATCAGACCAGGCTCAGTTGAAATATTGGCCTCCATACCGGTCAAATGTAGACTACAATATGGTTGGAAAATTATCCCTATCAATAAGATATTGATGAATTCAGGTTAAGTTAGGGTTGATGATTTTTCATACTTTAAGAGAGGACAATAAATGTGCTAATCTTTTGACTACGTTAAGTTAATTGGGTAACTAGAACAACAGAGTGTTGATTCAACCTTTGGAGTGTATTAGATCATCACCAACCCAATTACATCAAAATACCAAAAATCTACACTAAATGTCACATCAAATTTTTACACCAAATATTATTCTATACTAAAATAATTTGATTTCTCAAAATTTAAAAGTTTATTAGTTCAAATTTAATTAATTTAATATAAAATATAATTTGTGGAGTAAATAATAATATTTTAGTACAATTTAATTTTAGATGTAATCATTTTAATTTTGTTAAATTATATTTTATGTAGTTTAATTTTTAATTAATTCATATTTAATATTAATCTTATTTTAATTGTCTTAAGATCTTTCAAATGATATAATTTATGTTTAATAATATAAAATTTATATATAAGTATTTTAACAAAATACATAAATTCATTAAAATAAAATAAATAATACAAAATGAATTAACACAAACAAACATGAGCAAAACAATAATATAATTTTTTTTTTTAGAAAAAAAAATAGTGTCGATGAGCAGTGTTACGTCATATTTGGCACAACACTATTCAAGATCGGCAAAAATTTGCCATTTTACCATATGCATTGAAGACGAAATTTGCCATTTTTTGTGTTGCTACCTTTGGAGATAGTCTTAGGCAACAACTTTGTTTGGATGCATTTGGGATATTACTGGATGAGTTATGTCTTAATTACAAACTTTTGTGCTCTAGTTGTGCTTGGTTTGTTTTCATTTTTTTTTTTTTTTTGAAAACGTTTTCATTGTTTTTAGTTTTTCTTGATTGTAATTTACTAAGGGTTTTATTAAACTAGACTTATCATAAACGGGTACTCGACAAATTATAATTTGCACAATACATTGTGCACATTAAGAGTTTATGCATATTATGTTAAGAGTTTATGTGTATTATGTTAAGAGTTTATATGTATTATGTTAAAATTATGTGTATTGTGTTAGAAGTTTATGTATATTATACTCTACAATTATATACATATGAAACAAAAAAATTTTAAAGCGCACAATAAATTATGCGTTTTGGTGCACCATATAATAATTGCTGATACTCGGAGTAAATCAAATAATGAGCACAAATGGGTAAAATAATGGACATATGGGTCCTTTTGACCCACAAAATAAATATTAGGCTACTGGGCCAAAATACATGCCTAAATTGGGCTATTACAAAGTGATACAAGTTGCTAAGTGCCACCGCCCACCAGGGGCTATTAACAATCATTATTCCATAGGTCAGGGTCCACAAATTTGTGTGACCCATAAATAAAAAATACATTTTTAATATATTAAAAGTATGTTATTTGTATATATAAAATATATTATTTGAAAGTACATGATCTTTTATATATTATCAAATAATGTATATTCAGTATACAAATAATGTAGTTTTAGTATATTAAAAATGTATATTGCATTTATGGTTCACATAGCTATGTGGACCATGGTCCACAATAATTTGCCTCAAAGAACAAAGACAAGGATTTATTATGAATATAATAGGAACACAAGCATAATCTTGCCTGCCTATTATCATCCCTATCAGAAGTGAAACATAACATATTAAAGGAACCAGAAAGAATCCAATTGCCTCTGTTATAACAAAGCTGAGGTCAATAAAACTGGAGATATATAAAAGGAGAAGATTATCATTCTATTACTCCATAATAATACTATAATAGTCATAATCATGTAGCAGCTATGGCTTTAAGCAACTTCCAACAACTAATTGGAAATGTATACAAAAGCTGCTATTCTGTTCTATTAGATAATATCATCTGATTGATGACTATGTTACTGCTAGCTATTACATTGCTGCAAATGGATACATTATTACATAGAATATTTACCATTTCTTGATAGTTCTACTACTTTGTCATCACCTGTAGCTCCCTTTACTGAATCCAATGGAATTTTATCCTTTGCTAACTCCACGTCGCTTTCCTCACTGGCAGTAACTTCTTCCACAGGTTTGTATCTATAAAACCGGGCACACGTGACATAGTACACGAGATTTAGTGCCTGTATACCTGTTATGAGCCAGTAGTAGTTTTCCAACTTTCCCCTATTCAGATTCCGGTCTGGTAGCCAGTTCCCTTCTTGGCCCCTGCCGGTATAGCTGTGCACTAAAGATACCACAAGGGTGCCCATGTAACTTCCGATTGAAGAAGTTAATGAGTTCAGCGCAGCTGCAGTGCTTCTCATGCTTTCTGGGGATTGCTCAATGAGAAACTCAAGGTGCCCAACTGACATGAAAACTTCAGCTATTCCATGGAGGCAATACTGGGGAATTAACCAGAACACACTAATAGGTATGATGGCAGCGGGTTCATCAAGTAGGTTATAACGTTCAGCAACTGCTTTTCGCTTGATCTCAATGAGAGCTGACACAATGGTGGCAAGGATGTTAACTGCAAACCCTATACCCATTCTCTGTAGGCATGTAATGCCTGCAGGATTTCCAGTGAATCTGCGAATAAAAGGTACAAAAACACGCTCATAGAGAGCGAGGCCAATAAGCACAGTCAAGACAGTAAAGACAGACATGGTGGCTGGAGGAATTTGGAAGGAATGGGATTGGGACAGGTGACGATCCATACTGCGTGCTTGTTGGATAGTAAAGCTGCCAACATGTGAATATGAAGTGATGAGCAATATTCCCGCGGCCCAAACAGGTACCATCCTGAGAATGCACTTCAGTTCCTCCACTCTATGCACTGTAGCAAGCCTCCACAGCTTTGGCTGGTTAGATTCTCTCATGTCAGAATCATCAACCACAGCTGCTCGGTCAATAAACCTTGAAACATCAGCACCACAAAGTATATCCAAGTAAGTTAAATGGTCCTCTCTGCAAATTAATGGTCTTTCTTCTTCTTTTCTAAAGCTTAGTGTTTTCAAGCGTGTAGCTAGATAAATGTAACATCAAGAATTCAAGATTAACCTTTTATTTATTAAGCAGCTGGGCTTTTAGTTTGATTCACATTTATAGCCACACAAACTATATTGATTATAGAATTTAACTTTTAATAATGTATCTTACTTGAACTGATCAGTATGCAGAAGCCTCCCATTGGATGAGATTGCAGCATCGAGTTCTTTATTTTCATATAGGTGACTAGAATCAGCAGGTATGGCAACATTCCTCTTCTTCACAGATGCAACAATTACCTGTGCCAATCTTATCAATGGACTTCCTCCAGGTTTTACTTTTCTGTAAAGAGGGGATCCTAAAACAAAAGCAACAACTGATAACCCCATAGCAATGGTTGGAATTCCTAGACCCCAAGCCCAACTGACATTATCTTGGATATAAACAATAACCGTCAGAGAGGTTAATGTGGCCAATCCCATGCAGAAATAATACCAATTATAGAAGTTCCATTTACGACCCTCTACTTTTGCCTTTGTCATGTCAATCTGATCAGCAGCAAAAGTAATAACACAAGGCCGAATGCCTCCCGAACCAATAGATGTCAGGAGTAGACAGATATAGAGAACCCAGAGCTGCAGGTTTGAAGCTTCCGTGCAGTTCTTCTTGGTGGGGCATGGTGGAGGACGGAGCTGTGGCATGATTGCCGAGGTAGTGATACTTACCATTCCCTGTAACATGCATATGGTAGATCAAGCTCCAAATATATAAAAAAGATAACAAATTGCATATTTTGCGTTTTTGGACTAAATTATCTAGTTAGATCTTTGTCTATAGTTCATGAGCCAGATGCATAGCTAATGTTGTCACTTGAAGTATACTGTTTATCATCCAATAAGTATGCTTCTGTAAGAAAGATGGGAACTCATATACACTGCAAGAGAGAGAGAGAGAGATACCAACACATAAATGATAGATCCAACAATGATAGTCCAAAATCGGCCAGCAAAAGAATCAGCAATTAGAGCACCAACAAGCGGCATGAAATTGGAGGTTCCACCAAAGTTGGTAAGGGTATTAGATGCCTTAACAAGAGGCAAATTTAGCACCTCTGTCAGGTATGTTATCATGTTGGCATGAAAACCAACAGCCGCAAATCTATCGCATATTTCATTAGCTGTCAAAACACAGAAAGGAATCGTTAAATCATAATCTGGCATCAGTTCCTATACTTATAACTAATACAGAAAGTTATGCCAAACATTAAAACATACTAAAGCCATATCTAATTCTCTGGTCTCTTTATCTTTTCATCATTTACTCAGAAATAAATCCTTCTGAGATAACGAAGGCAAAACATGAAGACTGCCAAAGATCAGAAACACTAAATTTTGAGATTCAGAATGCTACTAATCAGTTAAAGAAACAAGAGCAATGCAACATACACTATACCATTGAAGCAGTATGAAGAGCACGGGCATGGTTTGTAATCATATCATTATCTTTTTCTTTATGATCTGGTGAACCATCACATAAGCCTTCAACTTATGATCTAATTAAGCACTCAAGCACTATATTTAGAAGAAAGAATTAATAGACAATTTAATCAAGAGCCATCTGCTCGTTCAGGTCAAGAATAGCAAAACCCACCAAAATATACACTGCCATTTCAAAGCTCCCAACGAAACAACTGCTTTTCCAGTTATCGTATCATTAAGAGATGGAATTTTCGGTAGATTTCCAGCCAGTGAAGAAGAAACTCTGCTGGGAATTTTATCAAACACATCCCATCCCCTACAAATCAACTACCCCATGAGCATCGCTATCCCTTCTGGGCCAAGATTTTCCCTCCCGGCCGGCGGCCGGCGGGTTTTCCTTCTCTTCGCCGTGATCAGTATCGCGTTTCTTTCTTTTGTGTTTGGGCGGGAATTTCAACAGAAAACGGGTAGCCATTATGATTGCCACCGCCGACGGATAGTTAAATTCAGTATATTTGAAATTAATATTCCAATCGTCTCATTTTATATGTGATTCCAGGCTGAATTAAAATTATTTTTAATTTTATTTTTTTAATTTAAATTAATTATCTTATATATTTAAAAATTATATTAAAACTATAATTAAATATAAAAATATAAATTTAAAAATAATTTTAAAATATTACTAAAGAAAATTAGCTAAGAAGAAACAATAATTTGATTAATAAATACGGAGTAGTAAATAAGACATATAAAAATGTGATAAAGTTAACTTTAACGGATGAAGGTTTAAAAAAAAATCTTTAATTATTGGCATGTTGATTGAATTAACACAGCTCATATAAATATATTTAATTAAATTAAAGGGTGCAAATTTAATTAAATTAATCTTATAATTAACTTGATTATCACATGATTTTAATTTCGTCTCTTCATATAGTCTATTGTTAAAATAAATAAAATAACGTATAAGAGCATCTTTATTTATTTTTTTCAATAGTAATTTAGGTTCAAAACATTTGTACAATTGCATTACTGCCAAGTTTGTTTTTTTTTTCAATATTTTATATTATCTGTTGTGTGTTTTACTGCCTAAGTTTTGTTTTTTTTTTTTTTTTTTAATATATACTACTGCCAAGTTATTTATACACTTTATGATTTAAATAATACAATATTTTTCCATATATCAGATTCAGACCGGCCTCCACACTGAACTTTGAAAATAATTTCTGAATCAATAAACGCAGTAAAATCTGCATCATATATCAATGATTCCTAGTTAAGAATATAATAATAATAATCTGGAAGTCATTTTAAAATTAAAGTGATTAAAAAATTATATATCGATATTTATGTGTTTCATTAAATATATGCATTAATACAATGCGAGGCGGTTGAAAAAACATTTATGGCATTGATGAATTAAAAGGAGCGAGAAACTAGATTGAGGGAATCTTATTTGGATCACAACAACTATATATCATCATAAACATATATAATCAATTCAACTTGAATTCATTGAATTGAAGCAGTGAAATTATGGAAGAATATAATTGAAGGTGAGAGGGAGAGTGCATGTGAAGTTACTACACATACCAAGGATAAATGGCATTGTTCTAATGCCACCAAGCTTCCTCTTCCTGCCACTGCTACTTGTTTTCTTCTCCTCTTCTTCTCCATTTTTAAGAGCTTTGTCCTCCACCTTCATGTCTGCACCATCCATGTTTGGCCTGCCTGCAGCAGGAAATATATATATGCAGAGAGAGAGAGAGAAAGAGAGAGAGAGAGAGAGAGAAAGGGAGAATATATATAGATTTGTTTTGTAATTGCAGAAGCTGTATGTGCAGGAATTGAACACTGAGCTATAAAGACTGGTGTGTTGGGACTATATATATACATTAATTTCAATGTTCAAATGTTATGTCATGCATGTGATGCTTGTCCATGTTGTTTTGTTTCCTAGCTACACATACATATATGATCAGTTTATATATATATATATGAGTACATTATTGTTTTTGTAATTACTCTCTAGCTTTATATTATCCACCAAAGGGCAATATAATAACCAACTATAATCAATCATATATAACATATATTAATGGATTAGGTCAAGAAAAGGGGCATGCACATCATATCACACTCAAAAAATACTCCCCATGCCGATGTACATAAACTTTTAAGTGTTTTTTCATTATATTTAAAATACATTTGGTGCTAAGACAAACTTTTCTAAAACTTTTAAAGGTCATTTATGCACCAATACTAACTAACTATATTTAACCTCACATTACATTCTCTTGTATTTCATGTTTTAATTTCTTGTTCCCATACTATCTAAACTATATATATATATATATATATATATATATATATATATATATATATACACGAGAATCATGGTACACTCACTCGATCGACCATCCCTCTCGAGACATCGCCCTGTTTGGTAAACATAGTTAGCTTATCGGTCAATTTTGACTTATTTGACCACTATTAGTTTGATTTAGTTAAATAACCAATATGAGTGTTTGATTAATCAGCTTTTTGTAATAGCTTATTGCTTTAAAAGGCTAAAATTTAAAAAGTTTTTCAAAACAGCTCTTTTGATCAATTTTTTAAAAAGTTATTTTGCATGTAATCAGCTATCAACTAACAGTTAATTTACTAAACATCTTTCTACAATCAACTAATGCTATCAAGTAGTCAAACTTATTAACCAATCAGTTAACAGATATTTACCAAACACTCTTATATCTATGTACTAGCATTTTGTAAGCGCAATGCGCGAAAACTTATGCCCAATATTAAAATATTTGTAAGTAACAAAATTTAAAAAATTAGTTAAAATTAAATTTTGCAATTTCTTAAAGTGATGATACTTTTGAATTATCATATATTTGAATAATATAGTGATCAAAACAAAAAAAAAAATAAATTATATTTTTATATAATAATAATTTACAAATAATACTAAGCTAACACTCATATATATGATATATTGATATGGATACCACAAATAATATACATTATATATATATATATATATATATATATATATATATATATATATATATATATATATATATGATACACATATATAATTTAACATTCATATAAATATTTAATTAAAATATAATTTATAATTAAATTAATTGTTATATGATAATTTTAATAAAATGATAATTAAAAATAGGAAAAAGATATGATAGATGTAGGTGTATGGTGAGATTGGTAGATATATTAAAAACTAACGGTATTATAACGGTGTAAGGGTGATTTTGTCCAATGCAAATGAATGTACAACAATTAAAGCAAAATGTATATATTTATTAGCATATAAAAAGGGGACAAAAATCAAGGACATAACTTGTGTTGACAATTATTATGTTTTTAGATTTTAGATATGTATATAACTCATGATTTTATTGTAAAGAGTCTTTATCTTTTGACCGTTGGTTTCGGACATTCCTAAGGGGTTTCAATTATTATGAGTTGAAGTGCATCACTATAAGCTTGAACCCTGCAGAAAGGTTAAGCTAACACAAAATCTCTGTTAGATCAGACTTTGATTAACGTAGAGTACAGTTGTTAACACAAAATCTCTGTTAGATCAGACTTTGATTAACGTAGACTACAGTTGATATATATATATATATATATATATATATATATATATATATATATATATATGATTTGATGTGGCGGCCTTCTCCCATGCGTTCATTTTGGAACAATGGATGACCTCAAATCAATGGTTGAAAATGGATGAAAAGGAAGAAATGCGATGACATTTTTGTAATTTTGTGTACTATATATATTTTTGTGGTGCACTAAGTGATGGTTTGTGATGCACTACTAAGTGATTGAAAATCAATGAAAATGGCAAAAGTGCAGTAGTGACATTTTTATAATTTTGTACAATATGTATATTTTTGTGATGCACTAAGTGTTGTATGTGGTGTACTGGGCATTTCTTTGTGGTGCACCATCAAGTGGCTGGAAAAAAAAATGTAGTGAGTTCAATAGACCCGTTGAGTAGTACCATTAAGTTGGACCAACGGGTCTACTGAACCCGTTGATATGCCCCATGACCAACGGAGGTTTGACACCCTCGTTGAGTGGTGCACTAAGGGTTGATCTGTGGTGCACTTAGAGTTGTTCTGTGGTGCACACAGGAATTCTTGATGGTGCATTGGACTCAAAGCACCACCAAGCATATCCAAATGCACCAGTATATTATTTTTCCAAAAGGTTGAACCCCAACCCGACAAAGCATCTGGGATGATGTAAATCATGGTAACTCAACTGAACATTGTTCTGTGGTGCACACGGGAATTCTTGGTGGTGCATTGGACTCAAAACACCACCAAGCATATCCAAATGCACCAGTATATTATTTTTCCAAAAGGTTGAACCCCAACCCGACAAAGCATCTGGGAGGATGTAAATCATGGTAACATGAACCATGGAGGTTAGACCTTTGCTTACTGTGCACAAGGAGCCCCCTCACTTTGAGAGGTTGCTCCCACACTGCCGCTGGTGAGACTCGATCCCTGTTCATTCTTCCAAACTTTCACCTCTATAACCAGTTGAGTTACCCATGCAGGCGCACCAGTCCATTATTGAAATTACCAACGGTTGATCTGTGCTCATCCAATGGTCGCGATATGTCCGCACAATAGAGGTGGCCACGAGCCGATTCAGGATTGAACCAGTCATGAATCAACCCGGAAAAAAAAAAAAAAATCGAGCATGGGCTTCATCAGGCCTAGCCTGGATTGGGACCGACTTGTATAGGGCTGGTCCATGTCTTATTACAAACAAGCCCGGTGCCCATCTCAAAACCGACCCAGGATCGAGTTCAGGGCCCTAACCAGCCCAAGCACGGCCTAGGCCCGGACCTTCCCCATATGAGTTTGAATTAAAAAATAAAGTGTTTTCAATTTTTTAGATAATGTTTCTTTCAATACTATATCTATAGATTTTTTTTTTTTTTTACTTGAACCTTACATTTACCTGTTAATTGTCAATTATTGCATATTATATATTGTATTCATATTCTAATTTTATGTGTTCAAGGACTTCAAAGTTTGAGTGATTATGTTAAACTGGTTAGAAAATGTGCTAAATGATTTAAATACAATAGAAACAATATATATATATATATATATATATATATATATATATATATATATATAGAGAGAGAGAGAGAGAGTGAGAGTGAGAGTGAGAGAGAGAGGTTAAAATATTGTGAGCACAAACATGAAATAACATGATTTTAAAAAACATTTTAGTTAAAAGTAAAAAAAAAAAAAAAAAAAAAAAAAAAAAAAAAAAAAAAAACATTTTAAGTTAGTAGAAAATATTTTTTTTTTAAAAGGAACCAACTTAATTTATTAAATCAGTAGATAGAACATCAACAAGAAAAGGAGGAGGGCAACCAATCCACTCCTTGCAATCTGACATAGAAACGGCATGCCTTGCAACAGCATGTGGGCTGCACGATTCGCAGATCGCTTAGTAAAACTAAAAATTACATCGGTAATCTGAGATGCAATTGCCTTTATGTCATCTAAAATTAACCCAAAAGACG